GCAGCAGTGGCACTGGGAAGGGGGCTACAGCAAATTTTGGGGTGGCCATAGCCCACCACACAGCCACCCCTCCTAGTGCCACTGCCACCCACCACACCCACAGCCCCAGCCCAGCCCTTCCACCAGGAAGAGGGGGGCGCAGCTCCTGGCCCCAGCCTGCCCTTGTCCCATGCAAATCCAGGGGGGCACATGCCCACCATGCCTCTCCCAGGAGTGCATGCAGTGGCAGGAGCCACCCCCCCCAACCCTCCTGGATAAGCCGTCTGCAGCCCTGTCCCATGCCCTGCCCTGGCTGGGCAGCACCTGCTTCTGCCCCTGCCCCAGCCCCACTCCCTCCCTCACCATGGGGGCCTCAATCTGCCCTCCCGCACATATTTGCCAGCCAGATACTACTCTCCAAGCTGCTGAGATGCATAAACTGGCAATCAGATCGGTATCCGCCAATATGGCTGGTTAATAATTGGCCATTTGTATTGACCCATAAAATCTTTATCAGTGCACCCCTACTTTCTAACTCACGTTACAGTAATCCAACATGGGAAACCCAACGGGTTTCAAAAAATTTTAAAAAGTGCTTAAAAAAAAAAAAGAGGCCGAAATCTTTTTGGCAAGACCCACTGGTATCCTTGGAAAACTGAGCAAGATAAAAGTTGGGAAGAGCTGATGTTAACAGTCAATACCCATAACCCACACCAGCCTGCTACAATCATCTCAAGTTTATCTATGCTGTAGGTTTTATCCAAAAATTTTAAAAATGGCACAAAATTTAACTTCACACACCTTAAATTCTTATGCATTTCATGGTTTGGAAATTTGGTATCCAGAAGGCAACTCAGGAACTGAATGAAACATGGGGTAGACAAAATATTCAGCAAGACGACAAAGACCGTACACGGCAAACCAGCACCAAGGGCTATTCAGCTGCATAGTGACCATTCCCATCATATACCTGTCATTTACCTTTCAATATTTTAGGGGGAGAAGCAAAAGTGGTGGCCTAGAAATAAAGGCATCTTTGAGGAAAGGAAGTCGTGCATTGGGAAGAGTTAATTTAAGTGACAGGGTCCACCCAGAGACATTGGAGTCGGACTCAATGACCTACTAAGGTCCCTTCTAACCCTAACGTCCATGAATCTATTAGTGATTTTTGCTGTGATCTAGAAACCAAGAGCTTAACATTTATTCTTTAAAAGCAGGACAACAGGGGAGGAATCAAAATAGGGATTTACCAGCTGTGTTACAGACCCAAAGCAAGTATATGCAGGGTCTTGATTCAATGTCCTGGAGTGCAATCTGAGTTCACCTGGAACAAGGTCATTGCACAGGGAAGATTATAATTTACTAAGCGTTAGCTTTTGAATATTTGTAAGGTTATTCATGTGAGCCTTTCTGCTACAGAGACTTCTGCTAGAGACCAGAGGAAATACTTGAGAGAGAGAAATCACAACTTTGCATCTAATAATAATAATACACCTGGATGTAAGAAACTGCTATTTTTAACTAAAAACATAAAGTGCTGATACTCAAATCAACCAAAATAGTTTGAAACCATTTTAAGAGAAGCTAGATGTACTTACAAAACAATGTTAATTCTCCTAAGTAAGAAGCATCATGCTTTAAAACTGGATTCTGATCCAATATTAACATATGGAATTTAGGGCCTTGGAAACCCTCCAACAATCAACACTTTTGAAATTATTTTGTCTTACGTCAGAAGTACAGCTTATCTTATTTTTTTTCCAGCTACTTAAGTTAGTCTAATAAAAGATATCAGATTCACCCAAAGAACCTTGTCAGCTTATCTGAAGTACTTTGCATCCGTCTCCAACTTAGTTTGTGATATTTCCAGTGTCTGCTCCCAGTTTCATTGTAAGGTAGCAGGAAGTGGTGAAACCTAAAGCAACCTCCTGTGAAATTAATTTAGGGTTTGCAGAGGCACCATGGGATACCACAGCAAATCCTACTATTGCTCCTGGATCCAAACCCATATTGTTGCAGCTGCATTCTCTCCCCGCCCAGGAACAATCAATTAATTATTCTTCACAAATACCAATATTAATTCCAACACATTACCTACTACGCTAAATTGTCTTCCTACCTCAGAGAAGCCTTACAATTATGAGTCCACACTCAGGTACCCAGATCATATTAGCTATGAATGGTGTAGTGCATCTTATATAAAACTCTGAAGAGTATGCAACTTTGTGAGAGGAGCTAAACAGGCATTATTCTGCCAATGCTGTAATAATCCCTTTTGTAATATTGTGTTTTTTCAGAAAAGTGTATTGGCCTTTTAAATACCACTAAAAGGTCTTGAAGCCCAGACCATCTGGATGATAAAATTACCTATTGTAATATCCTACTCACCTAATTAAAAAACTTCTGCCCAGTCCTTATGGAACTTGCCTTCAACTCAAAACAGATAAAGTGTAAAATATCAGCTCTGATAAGACTGATATCTAGCAAATACTCAATATACAGAAGCCTCTCCGTTTCTGTTATCAGGTGCTGGTGTGAATTCCTCTATGGAAAAAAACCTTGCTCAAAGCAAACTGACTTCTAGGCGAAATCCAGTCTCTGCTGAAAGCCTATGGGAAATCAGTCTTCAGCAGGGCCAAGATTTCAGCTTCCATGTTTAAAAGTTTCCAGGTTCTAGATGAACAGGATTATGTAAACTGAAGCGAGAGACAGCTGAATTGGGTTCTGGCTACTTCTATACGGAAGAAAGCCAAAAAAAAAACACCCCCAAAAAAGCAACCCATACATTCTCCACTTCCATGTATAATTAGGCCACGTGCAAAGCAACACCTCACCTAGATGGATACAGAGCAAACACCAAGTTGGTTTGCTCCAATGTGCAAATCAGGCACCAGGGAATGGCATACAGGATTTCAGTCACCCCTGCCTTGGCAAGGCCTGGTACTCTCCTGCTCCACGCTTGAGAAATGCAACATGCTTCCCGGACTTCAAGCCTTGTAACACTTCCTGCTATTACGTTTCCTAAGGCTGCCGACTGCCATTTGAGCCAATGAAAAGAATGGTATGGTAACAGGACCGGAGTCCTGCCACTTTGAGTTTGCAGTATTTTCCCTTTAAAAAATAGTGAGGCTCTGCTGACTTCAGACTAATGTGGCCAACTCCCTTTCTTGGCTTAACCTAGGTTCTTCCTGGCATCTCTGCAGGACACCCGGCATTCCTCGTACCCCTCTTTGCAGTGCAAATAGCCAGGCAGAACTAAACCTTACCATTCTCAGTTTATAAAATAACCAAACACTGGCTTCCACCTGCCATCTTTCCTACCTACATCCTCTTTTACCTCTGTCATATTATAACATATGTTTGTTTATTTACACACGTATCTATATGGACTGCTCTCTCATGTGGGAAGGTAGCTACTAAACAGACAAAAATATAGCATGTTACTGATACTGCTATGATTAGCAGTCCCATATCCAACAGCACCCGACTACTAACATTCTTTCAGCAGTTAAACACTTAGGGTACAAATAAGGCAATACATTGTTGTTATAATGTTCCCCAAGATTCTTGTACACCCACAATTCATACCACGGATGAGGGAACCCCTTTAACCCCCTCCCTCCCCTAAGAAAATCCACATACATTTTAGGAAAAATCTCTCTAAGTCAGGCATTCCAGTGAGGTTTAAATATGACACAGTTTATGCAAACCTGACTGGGTATAACTACGTTGCAGTATTTCAAAAAAGCTAAATAAGTTTCTTCAAATTGCTGATTGGAAGACAAGCTGTTTTTCTTCAGTTTATTAACTTCCATGTGAAACACTGGTAGAGAAATAAAAATGGATCGTAAAAATCACTACCATTTTTCCCTTGTTCCTTTTTTTAAAAAAAAGGACATACAATTCCAAACGTACTTGATTTTTTGCATAAGCACTCCATTTTTCCTAATTCTCGCATCTTGAATGCCCAGCATCACTATAATCCATAGATAGCATCCATCAACATGAAAACCTTCACTATATTCACGTGGCATTTTAAAGTGTGTATGTTCAGCTTACTTTAGACCCAAGCAACTTTTTAAAACCAATCTGAAGATGCAGTTAATATACAACCATGGCAGCAACATATCACACACTAGAAAGAGTCTATTGTAAAGTAGCTCAATTGTATTAGTAAGTTAGTCTTTGCAGATTGACTCAAGATAGCTGCTAACCTTCACACTGTAATAAAGCCCAATGAAACAAGAAAAAAAAATATATCACACAACACAGTTACATGTAACAGATCAAACAAGTTAAAAGTATGCAACTTTTTACTGTTAGCAAAGTTTTGCTTTGATATAGCATTGTTCCCCAACCTTTACAATCACGCTCTTTTAACAAAACATTTCATTGCCGTCTTCCTTATTAGACTTACCCTGCATGTGTGAAATTTAGACAATTTCTATTCAATAGTTTTTCCACAAAATTAGCAAGCTACATATCCTTTGGTAGAAAGACACTAACAAGCTTCTACAGTTTCTAGAACAAGGAACCTAAAGCTACTAATACCAAGCAAATCATCTGAGCAAAAGGATTACAATGACTAGATGCAAAAAGCTGGAAACTCACTTGTATTGCAGATTAAGCCTGTATAAGGAGGTCTTTTGTAATGGGTTTCCACGCAGTTTAAAAAAAATGCAGTGGAAGATTAGTTTGAAATACTTTTGAATCAGGATATTTAAACACATGAAAAATAAGGGAGGGGGGAAGGATTCAAAAGAAAAAAAGGTGGGGGAGGGAAGTGTATGCATTTTGCAAACGAAGCTTTCTTCTGAAATCAAAATTTAAGACTCCCACACTTCCTTGGTCCCAATACGTTGAATTCAAACTGAAAATGAAGCCAAACCTGCAGCTTATTTGCTAAATTGGCAAAAGTGTCAGTAACTAGGTCACCAGCACATGAAGCACATTTAGACGAGTATAAGAGACGATAAAACGGAAGAGAGTCAGGAGTCCAGAGAAACATCCCCCCTACATACCTTGAGGACTTCCATTGGTACCTGAGTCGCTGGGGGCAGACTACTGGGCACGCTGACGTTGATGGCTGGTGTCTGGCTGACTGGGACTCTCTGTTGCATGAACTGGGCTGCTTGCTGCTTCTGCTGCTGCTCTCGACGCTCTTGCTCTTGCATCTGCTCACGCATGAGCTGCTGTCGTAGCAAGATTCGTGATGTCATACTGGAGGAGCTTAAGGGAGGCTTGGAAGCCCCAGGATGCTCTGAACTGCTGTAGAAAGACCAAAAAAAAAAAGACACAGACAGCTCAGTTTCCACCACTCCATTCATTATTCTTGTGTTCTGAAGTTTGCAGAATTATGCTAAGACATGGAACAAAAAACCAAAAAAACCCCCAAAACAATCAGTAACAATATGCTGATCTACTGTAGGTCCTTAGCAGGAAAATTAAGCAAAGTTATCCTGATGACATGTAAACACATTATCAATACGTATCAGGAAGAGGAGGACTATTTGTTCCAAGTTTTACAACCATTTAATGCTCACTGATGCCCAGCAGAACTACAGAGCTCCTATAATGTCATGACATGCACCACCGGGTTCTTTTAAAGAGACACCATATTTCTATCATGCTGCCAATCCTAAGTGACAGCACTTTATCACTACTCTGCCATCTAGGTTATGAGCCATTAGCTATCACTTCAAATTTCATAGGATTTTACATGAGTAATTAAACTTCAGCAAAGGGGGAAAGGGGAGGGAAAATGTGAGTCCAAATAGAGAAAGGTAGAAAACAAAGGCTGTTCCACAACACAGCCCGACATTCCCAACCATGCGTAGTCCCTCCACACTGAAGGGCAGGCTTAGACAACAGTGACTGCCGCTGGATCCGGGCAAAGTGGTGTAGTGAAAGGTATGAGATGAGTTGGGAGAAGGCCCCTGCAATGCACATTCTTCTGTAACCAGTTACCTATAAAAAAAAATTACAGCCCAATGGCTAATACAAGTATTGCACACATTTGAATGATATTGATTGCTCTAAGCCACTTCTTGGAAGCTGTAACCCCTTCTCTTAATATGCATATCATGATCTACAACAGGTGACAAGCCATTTATCAACCCCTTATATAAAGATTCCACATGGAAGTTATTGCCATGATTTTTATAAGGTCTTTCATCCGAGATGACCCCCTAAGGTGCTTAATGAACAACTGTATTTGTCGCCTACTGCAGGTATGCAACACATCATACAAACAAACGAATAACAGGTTAGACTGAAAAAAAAATGCATGAAACAGTGAAGGAAGCTTCACACCTGTAGGCAGACACTGTATATTTGTTTCTTGTCCAGGCACTTTTGCCAAGGACTGGTATACTACTAAATCCATGGCACAAAATTTTGACAGCCGGACTGGGATTTCCAAAGCACTAACTGTGCACACGCTAAAGCCAGTGATAAAGCTCCCATTGACACTTAAGCAATGCCAGTTTTAAGCCGTTACTTGACATTCGTGAAAAGCCCACTCTTCAGTTGAGATCATCTGAACATGACACGACCTTACAATTATAACTTTGGAATAAAGATGAACTTTAACACCTGTTGTATCAAACTTCTTGCCAAAAGCCAAACCCTAAAATTTCCCAACACATCTCACTGCTATACAACAACATGTTTTTTCCTACAAGATTAAAAGTTAAGCAAGTGGAGTTAATATCCTCAGAAACTAAACTGCATTAAGCCCATTAAAAATGTAGAACTTTGAATCCAAGTAGGGGGCTGGGGAGAAGTATTTAACTGGTAGCAACTACAGAAGCGTGCTTGTGTAGACTGGTTTCACTGGAGTGGCACCAATTCTGAAAGTGCCACGGACCCTTCCTTGCCCTTTAAGAAGTTCTTTAAAAAGTATGAAGAGAAGGGAGGGGGAAGAAGAAAAAAAAAAAAAAAAGAAAGACCGTCTTGCTATTTAAGGCCTGTCAGGTTAAAGCATTCCCAGAGAGACTGATCCTTTTGATAAAACAAGAGAAAAACCTTTGTGGTGAAGCTAATTCAGCTGGGGAATAAATCGCACTAATTAGCTGCTCAAGACAAGTCACTGACTGTGATACTTGCAAAAAAAAAAACTCCCAAAAAAACCTTTCAATTAACAGTGAAGTATTCTCACATCCTAAATCCAGAGTTCCCTAACTTTACTGAAGTTTAAAAGAGCTCGAGACATTCACACATTTCCAAATTGCTGAGATGTTCTATTTAAAATGGTTACTAAAAAAGTTAGGTTAGGAGTTAAAATACCCTGCGTTGGATTTCTGCAGAAAAAGCCATGCCGGGATCCATCCTGCTCCTATCGAGGCCAATGGAAATATGCCTTTATTTTAGTTGCACAGCAGCTCCTGAAAAGACGCCAAATCTGTAGGCTCGATGGCCTTGGGGCAGACCTTGCAAATACACAGTATGTCTAAAACAAACAGCCAAAAAATCCCTCCCACCCATTTTCAAAAGCTAAGGGATGAAACGAAAAAAGCTAAAGGGTGAAAATGCCAAGACGAATTGTAATACAGATGCTGTCCTGGGCATGAGCTGGCACATAGTGAGCCAACAAACAGCAACTCCATGGCTCCAGCATTTGGCTCATGGAAAGCAGGAAAGAGAAAGAGAGAAGGGGCTGTTGTCTTCGGGGGCAATTCCTTGAACAACCCTCCAAATACTGTGTTAACCCTGCCACTGCCACCTGGCTCTGCCAAGTTGAGCCCTCGCAAAGAAACATGCAGATAAGAAGTGGATGAACTGCGATCGGGTGAAGTCTGCCAGTCTTCTGGCCGTCTAGGTCTCTACGTCAGTGGACAGCCACCTCTGATGGGCAAGCAGAGTGCATTCTCCACACAGAGATCAAAGAGGGGGGGGACAAGCCTGATCTCCCATACGCCCAAACACTTAATTGGACGCCAAGTTAAGACGACAGGGGAGGTAGGCGATCCTGAACATTACAAAATATTCTGGCCATCCTCAAAGCTAAAGAGAAGCCAGAAACAGTTTTAGGAGTAGTAGATTTTAGCAAGCAAGGAAGACACGACGCTCAGTTACTCATGCGCAAAACAGCTTCGTACTACGGGGAACCAAAACAGTTGCTCCCAAAACCAGAGTCCTGTCACTGGGCAGACTGTGGAGCTCAAACCAAATGAAAGTCTGGGCTGCAGCAGTTTTCTGTTCTGGTCTGGTTACCTTCCCCAGGCATGAGCAACTTCTTGAAGTGGGTTTTATTTAAGCTAAAATATTCCATGCCAAGTCAGAGTCCAAAGATTTCTACTTTAATTTGGCAAGAGAAGAGTATGAATTTGGGAAGAGAAGTGAACCAACTGATGCTGCTCACATTTGCTGTAGTGAGAGTCCTGCTGTCCTCTCGCATAACCAGAAGTAAATCAAATCTAGACTTCAAAATGGGCCAAGGGGAGGAGGGAATGCAGCAGTCTTTGCCAAGAGCAACACAAGAAGCTAGGACTAGTAAAGATGCATCAGCCTCATCAGGAAGATGGTACTTCTGCAGTACAATATCTAGTTGCTTCTCAATGCTAACCCTTAGTGCCACCAGGTGGAAAAGGGCCTTTTATTGACCCAAAGTAGGAACCTGCTTAGCTCACAAGACTACAGGCAAAGCAGCCCAGGTTAAAAAACACATTTTCTTAGAAAGTCAAAATTCAAGCAAGTAAGAATTAAAATTAAAGAAAGAGGGAGCCCTGTTTTAGCTAGCAAGGTTTGGGGCTGCAGGAACCAAGATCTGCCAGGTGTGTGTGTGTGTGGGGGGGGGGGGGGGGG